TCTGGGAAAGAGATTGTACACCGATTGGAGTCAGTGACGCCAACTAGTTGTCGACAGCCACAAACTATTGCTGGTAACTTCTGAACAACAAACCGCAAACTCTGGATATCGTCTTCAATCGGCCTCTCTCAATATGATAAACTTAAAGCAATGGACACACATACACCAACCCACGGCTTCGTGAAACCCACGGCCTGGCTAGTACCTCACGCATGCGCACAGCCATATCACCCGGGCAGTGACATCCATGGACAGCGGTTTCGCCCTTATTTGGGCTCATAAGCATGGCATAGCCGTCGGAACTCAGTACGGACAAAGTCATGCTGATGAGCCCCAATAAGGACGAAACAGCTGGCCATGGCTGCCACTGCCCGGGTGATTTGGCTGTGCGCATGCGTGAGGTACTGGCCAGGCCGTCGGTTGGTGAATGTGTGCCCCTTACTTTAAGTTTGTCTCTCTCAATATGGCGCTTGAAAAGTGGTCACGAGTGCAGTTTCAAAAAGCCTTTTACAAGGAACGAAGACACAAAGTCCTGCGGCTAAGTTTGCCTTTTTTAAAAATTCCAGCACCGACAATTCTAAAAAGAGTACCCCGGTCCCAAAGGGTTTTTCTTGAAATTTTTCTCCGCGTGAAAGCGAGCAAGCCGCGAAGCGGCGAAAATGAGTCGCGTCTAGAGAAGATCTCATTATTCTCTATTGACCAGGCGAACTGAGTGAATGGGGAAGACCTTGGATAACAATGACCTCAACCAGGTTGTGGCGTTCAGCGGTTTTAGTGAAAACAAAGCTTTGGGTGCCGGGTGCTCAGTCTCGCGGGTTCATAAAACCTGGTCTCGGTCATTGTTAGGGATGGACCATTAGAAAAGTGATGGGGGGCGGGGATGGGGCAAAAGTCAAAAGTTTCCCCGGAAAATTATCAACAAAAAAATATATTCCTGCGAGTTTTGGCCAAAAAAAATATGCCCAAGGAGGATTTGTGCAGGTAAGCCTGATTATTATAGGTCAACTATAAAGTGAGTGACAACTTTGGAAAAAAAACAACGTGATATTTTTAATGTCAACATGTCATAACTTAGAGAATAGCTGGGTTATTCACTGTCTTATTTATAAGCAATGCCTGTCACAATCTCTTGCAGCAACCAAATCCTTCTATTCTCTCCTTCATTGCTACTTTTGTTCAAGCCGAAAACTGTACAGAATATTGTTCTGTATTATTTATCTACTTTCCTAAGGTTATCAGCTGCAATAATCGGTTTCAACCTGTCAACAAAATACTTGGCTATAATGCTTTGATGCTCTTAGCAGTGGACAAATAAATTATAACTCCATTTCTAGCATAAAATCTTCAGCAAGAATCAACGACAGCAATTGTTAGGCAATTTCCTTTATTATGTATGATGCGCTAAACTTCTCACGGGA